ATAATAAAATAAAGGTACTTAAATGATGGCAAAAACAAAAGACTTACATTATATTTTTAGGACCACAAACAAAAGGAATTGTCTAATTAAAACACATATAACAAATTATAGTTTGAAAAACGTTTTGATAATCATTTGATAATATTATGATTGGCGCTATGACAACTTCAAAATAATTATTTTTTGAGAATTTGACAATATTATGACAATGGCCGTTGGAAACTATGGAAACTACAAAAAAATTCTGATTTAACGCCATCTGGCAATACCTAGTAGCAACTTCTTCACCTAAAAATTAATTGCACTACCACCTAGCGCCTGAGGCTGGAACTATTTTATTTGAAATTTCCGTGGAAACGGTGGAACCGCTTTTGCTATTTCACTTTCCCGTCCCTGAGAGACAGCTTTATTTATTTATCAAATTACATAGAAACGAACGCCAACCCAGCACAATATTTTTTCTACTCGTAATAAATTCTTTGAAACAATAATTTCTGAATATTTTTTAAAACGTAACTCGCTATGGAAAAAAATATTGTTTTATATACGACGATAAAATTGCATTATCGTTTTCCGAAATTAATTCACTCGCGATTTCATCGCTCGTGAATTAATCTTTTCGGTCGACGAAAAAATACCATTTTATCGTCTTGTATAAAAAATAACTACGATTTTAAAAAAATTCTATTATGTTTACAGTGTACTTTTTGTAACTTTTCATAGAGAATAAAATTTAGGCTATTTTTAACAGATCTGTAGAAGAAAATCATAATAGATTTGTGAGTTTTATGTTTGTTTAACCAGTATCGGATTATTTTAATTTTTCGGTTAAGTTTTTTTTGTATTTTAGGTCAGTAAGCGAGGGTAAAAATAGGGTATTTCCTCCGAATTCTTCACAGCCGATTGACGTGAAATTTTAACAAAGAATAAAGAAATACAGGGTTGTTCACCACATACGACACGGAGTATTGTAGCTAAACGACTAGATTTATACAAATTGTAAGTTTTGGGTTCGTTGAAGGACTATTAGAGCTACAATTTAAAAATATTTTTACAATATACAGAGTGTCCCAAATAAATAAAAAATATCAAAGTTGTATTTTTTTAAATGGAGCACCCTGTATATTATTACATTTTTAGTTTCTACGATTTAAATAAAGGTAAATTTGATAAAGGTTTATTACACTTAAACCTTACAGTTTTTTTAAATATTTTCAATTTTGTGAAATTGCAGTCAATATTTTAAGGCTTCATTTCTCCAAGGATATCAAAGTTTTTAATACTAAATATTTACTGAAGTTTATTTATTGATCAGATATTGTGCTGCAATAATTAAAATTATACTACCTTATACAGAGTGTCTAAAATTTTGTTTTAAATAATTACTAGCTTTAAACGGCAATAACTTGTTTAATTTAAATGGAACACCCTGTATATTTTATAAGAGTCAGATGCACAATTTAATTGTCTATCAAATTGTATTATACCATTTTTACCTATAACTTCAAGTTTCCGTAGAAAATACATTTTCTTGTAATTTTAAATTTATTTAACAATATACCCATGGAATACTAACATTTAAGATTATTTTTAAAGATGTACCAAATTTTTAAAGAGTACAAATACTAATATTGTCGATGTAGTTTGTTTATTTCATTAAAAAAAAAACTATTTAAATTGTTTAAATATTTGTTAAAGAGGACCAATTAATATGATTCCAGTATTCAAACTACATTAATTGACTGTTTGCGTTGATTAATAATAATTGCTCCAAAAACTAAAAAACTGAATTTTTATGTGTATTAGACAGTGTGGTAAAAAGTAACACCTTAAAAATGATATTTCATTTTTTGACAAATGCTTATTTGTAAACAACAAGAGACATTACTATTTTTTATAACTTATTATTATATTGATTTCTGATTCAAATCCACATTTTATTTAGAATCATTTATTCACGAACATATTAAGTATGCTAATTAATTAGTATTTGGGCGGAAATAATGGTGGACCATTTAATTAATGGTATACTCTTTTATGAAGATTTAAATAGTTTTCTTTTTTGCATGCTTTGGCATGTAACTATCTATGTATGTATGTATGTTTGTTCGGGTAGTAATATTATCATTTTGTTAAAACTCGACATTTTGAACATTTATTATCTAAAATGTCAATATTCCATGGGTATATTGATAAATGAGGTCTAAATTATAAGAAAATGCATTTTCTAGGAAAACTTGGAAGGATAGGTAAATATATAATACAATTTGATAGACAATTAAATTATATGATTCATCTCCCTAATATATACAGGGTGTTCCATTTAAATTTAAATAAGTTATTACCGTCGCGTTAAAATAATGAATTTTAAACGAAAGTTTTAGTAAACCTTTTTATTATTGCAACACAATAACAATTTAATAAATAAACTCAGTAAATATTTAGTATTAAAAACTTTGATACCCTTTGAGAAATGAAGCCCTTTAAATGAAACACTGACAATTTTAACCAAAGTCAAAATATTTCAAAAACGGTAAGGTTTGAGGTGATAAATAAAAATAGAAAATATACTCACGGCCATCAATCGTAAAATCAAAAATAGAATAGCTGTACAGCGGTGGTGCCAGTTGTCAAAATTAAAAATATTTCAAAAACGGTAAGGTTTGAGTGTGATAAATCTTAATAAAATTTACCTTTATTTCAATCGTAAAATCTAAAAATAGAATAATATACAGGGTGTTCCATTTAAAAAAATACAACTATATCATTTTTTACTTATTTGGGACACTCTGTATCTTTTAAAATTATTTCTAAATTATAGCTCTAATAGTCCTTCAACGAACCCAAAACTTAAAATTTGTATAAATCTAATCGTTTAACTACAATATTCCGTGTCGTATGTGGTGAACAACCCTGTACATATGTAAGAAACAAAAGTTACATAGCAGCGATGTGTGCTTTCATCCTGGGGGTGAGTGCCACCTCTTCTCGGGGGTGAAAAATAAATCAGCTATTTTAATTGCAAAAACCAATAAAGGGATGAATTCTAAGTATAAAATATGTTCTGTAACATTTTTTAGTTATTTAAGGATTGAAAATGTTGATTTTTCATCTAAAAACTGCATATTTTTCTGCCAGTTTTTATAAATAACTCGAAAACCTTACGTTTTATCGTAAAAGTCTTTTTTTGAGAAAATGAGATTACCATTTTATTTTTATCATAACTCCGCGAGTTTTTGAGCTACGAACGGTAAAAGGTTGAATTTTTTTTTAGTTTTCGAAAATTAAAAATACACCTACGGTAATGAACAAAAAATTAATCGTTTAGTTATTCCAAAGCTTAATTTTTGCTTTATATGAGTTTTGCGATAAAATGCAAGGTTTTCGAGTTATTTATAAAAAATGGCAGAAAAATACGCAGTTTTTAGATCAACTTTCAAAATCAACTAGAAAAATATTAATTTTCTGAAAAAATGTTAGAACATTTTTTGCTTAGAATTCATCCCTTTATTAATTTTTGCAATTAAAATGGGTACCCCATTTGTGGTAATTTTTCACCCCCGAGAAGGAGTGACACACATCGGTACTATGTAACTTTTGTTTCTTACATACAGACCGGACCACCGTAGTAGTAACATAGGCAGAACAGGACGAATTAGCGTATACCCGTCCGCCGGATAAAAAGCAGGCGAAGAATTGCGATAAAATAAACATAGGTAGATTATGATAAGAATGTTTCAGAATTTGTATTTATTCGTGTTTTAATAGCCAAGACGAATACATAGATTCTCGCGACAGTTCTCGTGTAAAATTTATTTTTTAAGTAAAATAATGGATGTTTACGAAGTTTGTGAGAAAATTCAAATTGTAAAATAGTAAATAGTATTTCCAAAATAGATCTTATCGGGATATACAAACAATTTTTCCACAAACTTTTGTAAACAGGCCAATTCCGTCTTTACCTACTATATCAAGAGTTATTAATAATTTTGAAAAACCCAAAAAGCCTGATGAAAAGAAGCCTGATGAAAAATCCAAAAACCCAAAAAGCCTCATGTGTTGATTAATGAAGAACAGGAGTTAAAGCAAGTGTTCATTTGTGCTACCGCGGATCAAAATCCCACGTTTTCAAGTAATCAAATTGCTGAGGTAACAGATTCTTCACTTAGGACGGTTAAAAAAGTCCTTAAAAGGAATGGATACCGATCGTATAAAGCGCGCAAAACTCAAGAAATTTTCCATGAAGACCAATTTCGGCGTATGGCGTTTTGTGAATCTGTAATGGAAAAGGCCAATTTAGATGAAAACTTTATTCGGCGTATAGTTTTCACCAACGAATCAAGTTTTCCTTTATTGAGTCGTCATAACCCTACACAAGTACAGATATTTTGAGGTACGCACGCAATATCCTCAAAAGCTAAATATTTGGAGTGCTTTTATAGGGGAGCATATGATTGGTCCATTTTTTATAGAGGGTAATTTAACTGTTGCAAAGTATTTGGACTTGTTACAGCAGCAGATTGTCCCTAGAATTCGTGAGTTATTGAGATAAAGATTCCACAATGTCTGGTTTCAACAAGATGGCCACAAATGCCCGTATTGTTCAAAATTATTATTGTTCACAGACTAGCCGGCAGTGAATCTCGAGTACGAACGCACGTAAATTCGTCCGGCAACTTGCTATGTTACTAGTAGCCTGGTCTTCTCTGTATATCTCTATTAACTGTTAAAATTTCACGTCAATCGGTGCAGGTGTTCAGAATTCGGACCCTAAAACTCTCGCTTACTGGCCTATTTCTTATGACTCAAAGTAGAATTCGTATAAAATTTGTTTTATTTTAAGGAGTTTATTAAAAACTTTTCTATCGTCATTCGAAAAATTTATATGGGAGACGGTAGAATAGAGTATTTTATAGCCGTTTTATTTTTTTTAGTTCTATGTTCCCAAATGTTTTTCCAACTTTATAAAATGCACGTTTAAAACATGACTTTTTTTTCAGGGGTAGATTTTTGCAATTGTTCTCGGCAGTTCGACCATCGGCTACGACGCAAACATCTACGATTGCCGTTAGCCAAGTGTCAACTGTTGCCACATCCACTTCTACGACGACAACGTCCACAATCGGCACCATTGCTCAACCAGTAAGTTACATGTTTTAAACTATGAAACTTTTACACTTTTTTTAAGGTTTCAAACAAATAGTTGTATATAATAGTATTAGTTGAGTGTTAAACCACTAATACCATTTCATTCTTTTTTTGAATTTCAATACTGAGTGTTTTAAAAATATTAATTTAATTTAAGCTTCCAAATTATAATTTTTTCTTGATTTATAAATACGAAATAGGATATAAACTATAAAAATATGACAGTTCTTTTTAATGGAAAACGTGAGGTAGCTCTGCCTAAATAATGAAATATATAGAATTTTAAGGATTATATTTTTTGGAACATGCAAATTTTGTTAATGTTTCAATACATATAAATGTGGTTAATTAATAGAAAGGTTTTTTATTTTCGAATATTTCTAGTGTAATATTTATATAAGACGTTTAAAATAGAATATTTCTTTGTATTCATCTAAAATGAGGAAATGTATATAATTTAATATGTTTATAACATTTAATTCTTGTTAATATTTTAATATATTTTACTGGTCTTATTTAGATGATTTTATAATTTATAGAATACAATATTTATTTAGAAAATTTGAACAGTTAAGAATGAATGATTTTACTGATAATAGGTAATGAAATTTATAAATTATGTTATTGAAACACCAAAATATTTTTAATGTTCCAATGAATTTGAATAATACTCTTAGATAGAGGTATTTTTACTTAGAAGTTTCAGTATTACTACAATAACCTATTTTCTTCTTCAGATCAGCTGTTTTGATTAATGTTATGAAACACCAAAATATTACTAATGTTCCAATGCACTTTAATACTCTTAGGTAGAGATTTCCATCTTACTACATTGATCTATTTTTAACTATTTTGATTAATGTTTTTGGAACATCAAAATATTATTAATGTTCCAGTGTACTGTTTAATACTCTTAGGCAAAGGTTTTCATGTTACTATACTGATTTATTTTTCCTCTTCAGAGTTACTGTTTTTGGAACATCAAAATATTATTAATGTTCCAGTATATTTCAATATTCTCAGATACGGCTTTCCGTGTTACTACACCGATATATTTTTTCTTTTCAGATCAATTCTAGTCAGTCGAGCCAAACCGTACCCACAACTGTCGAAACTGTCGACTCTCAAACGTCGACGGGTAGTCCATCCGTGGCGGTCTCGATACAGACCAACGACGAAGGTACCAGGGCGCCATCTGGCGGGCCAGATCAGCCCTAATAAGTTGGGTGGAGCGTTTTGTCACATTTTTTCCTTTTTTATATGGCGCTGCTCATCCCACTTGAAACGAAGATAAGTTAATATCTCTCTTAATACTGTGTATCTTTTTGAAATGAATTTTGTTTGCAATGAAGTGATTTGATCTGTATATATTTTGGTTGGAACCAGAATCGAAAAATCGAAAATTTGAATGGAAAAGAAAAAAAACATTTTTCTGCTATTTTTGTACTACAAGAACTCCGTAATGGTAGGATCACGTTTACAGAACAAACAACCCTTTATTTATTACTCTTTAAAGTTTTTCGCGTTTCCATTGAAACATCCTGTATACTTTTTTTAATTCAAAGGCTTCAGAGGTTTTTTTTCTGGTGTATGCTATGCCAAGTTAATATAGTAAGAGATATTGATTTTTATTCGTTTTACGTGGGACATCCTATGTATAGAATCTTCATCTAGCGGTAAAAAAACTTGGCAACAAATGACCACAATAATATGTAATGTTAGTGTAATATATTTATAGTTTAATATTTTTAACAATCATTTATTTTTCTTTCGTGTAGACTTCTTCAACAATATTTCTATTCTTGCAAATAGCTTTCTTTTATACAATCATCTGAAGTTCCTTAACGTGTACATTTAGTATTCGAACAGAGAATTGAACATTTTAATCAAAATGCGCCATAACAATTTCTCGAAAACAGTCTAATGTCTGGTAATAAAATGTTTTACCAATCTTGTGCTTAATGTGTTTATTTTTTAATCAGAATTATTCGTCTTTAATATATCCAAGTGATTATTTATACTTTTTTAACGAAAATATAATATTTGTTTATATATTTAGTTAGATGGCTAGAACTTTTAGCAAATTTTAGCTCCCGTTTTTTTTAAATTATACAGTGTAATTTACGGCGATGGCGCATTTCATATTCTGTCGAATAAAGTAAAAAAATACCGATGGTGTCATTTAAAAATCAAAAGTTGTAGTCATTTCCGGTGAAACAGGAAGTGACCAAAAACAACTGAATACGTCAATGAATCCTAATTTATGTCGTATACTAACATACCAAATCTCGTTTTATCTGACAAAATAAAAAAGTTATAGGGGTGAGCCACTTTTGAGATGCACCCGGTATATCTAATAGTTTTCGAGATGAAAAATAAAACATGTGTAAAATTGTCAAAAACATTATCTTGAATACAAACCCGATTGGATATCAAACAGGGAGATCACAAAAGTATTTATTTCCGTTTGTTATAAAATGGCTGAAATCATTGCTATATTAAGTATAAGCCCATGTATATTATTTAAAAAACATAACAACAGTTTTACAACAATATATCATGTTCCTATACCTAAACCGTGTGGTTTGCTCAGTAAAGTCATTGTTGTGTTTAAAGAAAATCTTTTCCATGACAAATATTCAAACATTATATGTATGAGTTAGACTTTACTTGCTAAATTTCTAAATTTGTCATGGCAACGAAATATCTTGAAATGAAATTAAAATAAAAGAATTATTTATTTTTAAATAGCTCTACTTAAGAAACCGGAAGGTTTAGATATAGGAACGTGACAATATATCGTTGAAAAGTAATATTATTAGTCTTTTGATTTTAAAAAAAATATACATAGGGTTGAATTTAAAATAACAAAGTTTTGGTCAGTTTTATAACAAACAAAATAAATGTTTTTTGTTCTTTCTGTGTAATATCCAATCTGTTGATTTAGATAGATCGAATATATCACTTTTCGTTAACTTATATCCCAAATTTCAACTTTAAAAATTTCATTTTATGATTTTACCAATGTCTATTCAAGATCATGTTTTTGTCAATTTCACACATACTTTATTTTTTATCTCGAAAACTATAAGAGATATGTATACGTAAGTATAATATAAAAACTATGAGATATGAAATAGTTTCCAAAAATCTAATAATAATAACGTCTAACGTACCATCGCCGTGAATCACCCTATAGAAAAAAATTATGTCTTCGTCAACAACAATATTTGACTTGGATATGGACTTGAATCCGAGGACAACCCCAGACCAATGGGCCACTCTGTATATTTATTTCTGTATGATTTATCGAGGACTCTGTATATTTATTATTTATATCTATTATAGTTTTATCTACTAATAGTACGAGAGCTAGCAACGTCCGAAAAAACAAGTATTTTAAGACGTCTGGCTCTTGATATATCTTTTACTATGCTCTCTAGAACAGCATGCGGCCCGTCTGGCTGCCGGTAAACGTTGCGTTCCCTACTGCGCATTGAAAGAAGATCCTATATTTTTATTAGTCCTTTAAATTCTAGTATTGAATATAAATCGAACGTGTCTCCATAGCGCAGCGCGTAGAGTTTCCGACCACGAACCGATGATTCAGAGTTCGAATCCGGGTCAGGACAAAGACTTTTTATTTTATTTTCGTTTATATTCTTATAGTAAAGTATTAAATATTTGTTTTTTTTTAATTACCAGATTTATTTAATACTTTACTATCGGAATATAAACGAAAATAGAATAAAAAAGTCTTTGTCCTGACCCGGATTCGAACTCCGAATCATCGGGTCTTGGTCGGAAACTCTACGCACTGCGCTATGGAGACATGCTCGATTTATATTCAATACTAGAATTTATAGGACTAAATTAATAAAAAGTATAGGATCTTCTTCGGATGCGCAGTAGTGAACGCAACGGGTATCGGCAGCCAGACGGGCAGCATGCTGTCCAGAGAGCATAGTAAAAGATATATCAAAGAGCCAGACGTCTTAAAATACTTTCTCAAAAATGTTGCTAGCTCTTAGACTATAACGTTTTGTGTGAAATTTTCTTATTTAAATTATTTATTATTCGAGATTATTTTTCTAAAACCAAATGCGTATCATATTATTGTCAGTTATGAGTTGCTACACTATTTATATAAAAAATTTATATATTTTAATTGGAGTTTGTGTTATAAATTTATTTTGTTGTAAAAGAAGACAGGGGACGGTATTATGGATTGTTTTTTTTTGTTATATTTGAACAGTGAAAAAAGATAACGTCTTGACGTCTTAACAATGTAAATATATATTGTTATTGTTTCTTTCTTTAAAGTTTTGTTTATTAGGCGAATATAGATTGAAAACTTAATAAAATAAAGCAATAAAAATCTGAAAAATGTGCTTTTATTTATTAAACTGTAAGTTTCTTCTAGTTGGTTGTTTGTTGCATTAACTTGATAGCTTCCTTGTTTAGCCAGCCAGATATTGAGTCGATCTGCAAAGAAAAGTTTGTATTAATAAATTAATTACTGTACTTAAATAAGACAGTATTGATAATAATATAGATGTTATGGTGCAGTAATACATTTGCTTACTGCAATCATTGTGACCTCTACATCTTTGAAATTTTCACCAAAGTTGGAGAAAATGAAAAAAATTCCTTCATCATGTAGTGAAAACAGTATTTCAATGGTGCGGATAAACAATTAGGGTTTTTTGAATAGCACAGAAATAAAAAGGCCTATGAAACTTTTGTTGACATCATCTTTCGTATGAGAAAAAAGTGGGACAGGTTTGTGCAAACCGCATCTTGCTATCTTTACTAATAACGGAGATACCGTATGATTTCAACTAAAATGCACTGTACTCCCTGTACACTATTGTAGACCCATACACACAACAACAACAATCACACCTACATCAGTGTTTCAAATGTCAAGCTAAATGATTTGACATTACTTTTGAGGTTAAGATCTAATTCTTCCTTATTTTAGATCTTTTTTATTAGTGGCAATTGAACGATATGGATATTTTTAAAGGATATTTTCTGTATATCGCAGGTGATATGCGCAAACTAGACGAAATTCGAGCCGCTATCGATCACACCTTGTTTTCTTTGTATCATGCTATACTTCAAAACCATCTGTACTAGAGTAAGCGCCAATAAACAATAATAATATGACTTTTCAATGACAGAAACATTACAAAAATAAGAAACACTATTTTATAAGTGTAATGATGAGGACCCAAAATCAATGATAAAATTGCTGTAAATCGTTACTTAGCTATTTAGATCAACTAAAAAACGAACTATCGAGAAAGGATCACTAAGAATAGCTCTCGGCTGTATCTCGGAAAGTATTAGACGTAGCGGCTGCGGAAAAAAATATTTATAACTAAAGATGCTATGGGAAATTGCTGGAAATTATTTTCAAGTTTGGTATAGATATGGTATACCTACTATAAGTAACAGCTTTAAATAAAAAAAAAATAAATAAATTTTATTATTATAATTAATTTATTTATTAAATAAAAAAAAATTAAATGCAACAGTATAGGTATGTAATTTTAGCTGATAGTAAAGAGTAGAAAAAGCTTAAAAAGTCAGCGAAAACCGCATCTTTATATCTTCTTTCAAACCGAAGATATTAGCAAAATTATAATAAATACCAAAAAATAAGCCCTTAGTTACCTTATTTTTACAACATGGTATCAGTATCCCTCTTGATTATGCCCATTCTAACCTAAAAATAAGATAGAAACAGTTTATTTTAAAATCGACGATATACTCGAATATCATAATATCAGATGTATTAATATCTAATAATTAAGATATTAATAATAGTGAACAAGAAACGATGATTCAGTGAAGTCATGGTAGGTTTTGGAAAAAAGTTGCTTTTGACGTAATAGTATAAACGTCAAATTATTATTAGATCAACATTTTGATAGTCTTAGCAACGTTTTTTATCTTTTGATTGCCTTTTCAAAATGCCAACCACTTCAACTACTTCAAATAATAAAGGCATTTTGAAAAAGCATTTAAAAGATAAAAAAACTCTGCTAAGACTATCAAAATGTTGATCTAATAACAATTTGACGTTTATACTATTACTTGAAAAGTACCTTTTTTCCAAAGCCTACCATGACTTCACCGAATCATCGTTTCTTGTTCACTATTATTAATATCTTAATTATTAGATATTAATACATCTTCTTCTTCTTAAGGTGCCGTGCAGATTCCTGCGTAGGCGTTCATCTTTTTCTTCCTCATCAGATGGTTCTGTTAACTGCCGCGACTTGGAGTGCTTGGAAGTCCTGTATGCCTGTCCAATGACGAATATTTCTCAGCCAGGATAGCTTCCTTCGTCCTATCCCCCTTTTGCCCCCCTCTATTTTACCCTGGAGAATCAGACGCTGAAAGTGATAGCGTTCTCCACGTAGTATGTGTCGCAAATAGGCTATTTTCCTCTTCTTGGTGATTTCGAAGAGTTCACGTTGTTCCAGACCAGCTCTTCTGAGAATGTCTTCATTCCTAACACGGTCGACTCAGGGCACTCTTAGCATTCGTCGTAGGGTCCACATTTCGAAGGCTTCAATTCGGTTTATTGTTGCTACCTTCAGTGTCCATGCTTCCACACCATATAACAAAACGGACCAGACATAGCACTTCACCATTCTGTATCTAAGGCCGAAGAATTAATACATCTAGTATTATGGTATTCTGGTATTTCGTCGATTTTAAAATAAACTGTTTCTATCTTATTTTTTGTTAGAGTGGGCCTAATCAAGAGAGCTACTGATACTGTATTGTCAAAATAAGGCAAATAAGGGCATATTTTATGGTATTTATTATAATTTTGCTAATATCTTCGGTTTGAAAGAAGATATCAAGATGCGGTTTTCGCTGACTTTTTAAGCTTTTACTACTCTTTACTATCAGCTAAAATAACACACACTATCGTATTTAATTTTTTTGAAAAAACGCGCTTTGTTTGTTAAATTGTAAGAAAGCGCCCTCTAGCGTCTACGTTCAAAATCTCATTATTATTATTTTTATGGTATAATATAGAGTAAGAAACGCTCTTTTAAACGAGCCCTCGTTTGTTGGATTCTGATCATCCAGTCCGCAGTTATTAACATTTAAATAAACATAGATCTAACCTTCCCCCACCACTTTATTTTAGCAGATAGGGTAAAACAAAAAAAATCCAAAATTTACTGAAGATTATGAAGCTATTATTTTTAGTACCCATTATTAGGCAAAATTCTGTAAA